TATCAGACCCTCAAACCATAGTTTCGTCAAAGAGGACGCAGTTTTTATATGGCCAATTTCTCAAGAAAAAACGTAAAGCCTCATATAGATACCTCGTTTGGAAAACAATCTAGCCATGGGAAATCTATCTGATATCAGTAAAATCAATTTCCACTACTGAATTCATAATTTGTAGCACAAAAAATAGTACAGATCTTGAAGATATGTGAACACCTTAAAAATCAGAAATAATGAAAGCAAAAGAAAGGAAATTACTGTGTTTGGAAAAATATGATTAATTTTACCAAATTTACGTGAGCAGGATGAAAAATTCAAACCCCGGCGGATAATCATTTTATGTTTTAGAAATTGGTCTTTTGGACAATCTTTTCTTATCTGAGGAAAATTCAGGCCGAACTTTGGATATATTTTGGCCCAGATACAATTGGAATCTCCATGGCAATCAATAAAGGAGAGGCCCATAGAAGAGTCATCACAAATGCAAGCAGAATTGACCAGTGACAGAAACCAAATTTCCACCAAATGTTTGAAATTCCAAGCACAGTAAGAAAATGTTGACGGTGTAGAAGATAAGAGACTCTTGCATATTTTCCTTAAATTTCAGCATCATAAATCTAAATATTGTAAGAGGTGATCTTGAAGGTCAGTCTACAATTTGAGCAGACAAATGTAATTGAGGATCAGATTACTGCCTTTTCGCTTCAAAGCCAGAGCTACACAATATTTCATATTCCAATTCACCTAACTTGATGGTCTAGATTTTTAAGTATCAGAACCATATTCATAAAAACACATTATGTACCATAACCGGGCTAGATTCATACACCAAGTCATACAATTTAGCATCATATTGTTAACAGTACGGCTCTCTTCCACATAGTACCATAGAAATTATGGATCCTAAATTGGGTTTACAATGAATTTCAGTCAATTTCGAAAATTTAGAGGTATGGTCGCCAGTTTCTAGATTTTAGCAGTTCAACCAAACTTTACTACCGTTTCGATGCATGAATTGTAATTAAAATTCACATGAAGCTGGAAAATTGCTGCTGCAACTTCTGTACAGTTACGCAAGATATCGTAATATTCAATTTCTTACTGATATTAAAATTCAGGCCAAAAATATAAGTTTCAGCTCATATAGATGGTCCCTTCACAAATATTCAGGCAAATTTCTGATACAACTGGAAACTTCTATTAACCCTGAACATTTTAAAAGCCTATCTAAGATGCAAGTTTGGGTGGAAAAGATGGAGAGAAAAAAAACAAGATTATCACTCTTCCCGAGAATGGGACGCTTATAATCTAACTGGCAGTGTTCCAATGAGTAAACAAATGCAAAATCTGACAGAACTGAAGTGTTGGGATGATGCCTTGTATATATTAATTAGTCTAACCAACCAATCTGGCTGGTAGTTAACTTTAAGAATCACACGAGGAATTTGGTACGTATGTAGAGTCATTCTCACAAATTAACTTTTACTGTAACCTTTTTGACAAACTAATACACATGAGGATTTTGGTACCTATGTAAAGTCATTCTCACATATCACTTTTACTGTAACCATTTTGAAAAACTAATGCACTGATAAGGCTCTTGCCTATCCCAGGTTGCCTACCCAAAAAGAAAAGATATACCACCATCTTTGCAAATGGTTTGAAGCATGCCTAACCACCGCTTTGTTGGAAAACTTTATACCAAACAAAAAGCATTCCTAACCTGTTAAGGATTTAGAAATAAAATTTAACTGAAATAACTTATGAAAAAATGCAACATAAGAGCTTAACAAACCATTGATTGTTTCTTTACTACCTAAGCAAACACCTAATGCCGATACCCTTTTGGAAATGTAGCTGATAAAATTCAATTCTATAATAGCAAACTCAGAAAGTGATATGACACTGAGGTAGTAAAGTCAGGCTTTGTGATCTATGTGACATTACAACCATAACTTTTATGTGATCTGTTATTAAGAGTATTCTATATAATATTTAACAAAAGAATAAAGAGTGTAAAGCATGCACACATCACCTTTTGAATTCTAAACACGCTCCTTTTTTTTTTTCAATGTTAGTCAATCGTCAAAAGTCATGCTGATAGCTGGTTCTACTATTGTAATGACTAAAAAATTAAAGGAAAAGTATACATAAAGACTTCTTACTTTTAGTATAACGAGGTCACAATCACTTTTATCCTTCAGATTTTAAATAGGGTGGTTGTGAGCATATCATTGATTAGACTCAGAGTTTTAAAAAAAATTTCTCGAACTTCGTAACACACCCAACGAAAGAGATGCGAAAAATAGAGTTCGCATGAACCTCTATATCATGAACATTTGTATCGTAATAGAATTACCATCAATGACCAACACGAGAAAAGATATAACCCTTGAAGTTTGTAACTTGCATCACCAAATGACAAGAAAGGTGCAACTTACAAACTATTCAAGCAAGGCCATCGCTGTTGATGATTTCTTTAAGAACATTGCTACTAGCAAGTTGCCACTAACTTCCTTCTAAATGTTGGAAAGCCACATTGAGCAAGGGACACCGCTTAAGCCAATGTTCCCGACGGATTTTAATTGGATTCCTTGTCAATTACATTAAATGGTAGGGTTAAAGTTTAGAGTATGGTTCTTGATAGTTATTTTAGAATTGTTGTACCCATATAATGGACATCGTTATATACAAGGACTCTTTGAATGTGATTAATTGGTGCAATAAGGAGTCTAGACTGGCTTGAAAACTTGGAACAATTTGGATACAGATAAGGAGCTCTGTAATCGGAGGGAGGTGTCCTTCAGGCATGTATACATAGAGACGAATGATGTTGCAGATGGTTGGCAAAGCGAGGAGTATCTTTGCAAAGCTCAATTACATTCGATTGTTTGCTGACTTGATCTTTTTGTAATCACGCTTTTCTATCAATAAAGTGAAGTAGCCTTCTCAAAAACAAAAAAAAAAAATGTTATGCCTGAATAAGAGGAGGGGAAACCCATACGGATTGAACTGTTAAAGGGTACAAATTTGACTGGAAGGAGCGACAAGTGCAAAAAAAAAAGACCAAGATTTTTGCCTAGATGTCGTATTGACAGCTAATGGCACTGATGGGATGCTTAGCTTTATCGCAACTAAAATTCAGTGAGAAGCTTTCTCAACCTCGTAAAAATCAACCTTTCTCAGGGCATTGAGAAGTAGAAAAGGATTAATGGATGCATCCATAATGCCAAGCCTGACTCACAGACTAAAAGGATGATTACAAGCAAAGCATGGAAAACATGGCACACAACCCATGGCGACAGCAACCTAAACCATGCTGGTGCAACTGGCTGGACAGACATGTATTTTAATTTCCCTGTACAAGCAGGAACAGTTGTAGTGCTCTTCGCTGAACCACGACCAATGTAAGCCAAGGGATCAGATTCGAAGTGTTGTAATGGCGCAGAGATGGGTCTGATGTTGATCCTAAGGTGGAGCACGTGGGATGGGTAAACCACCCGTGCATGAGCAGCTTAGTGACAATTATCCCCGATAATTTCATTTTATCTTTATTTTATCAAAATAATCTCTAATGCACACAATAACTTCCAATAATATCCCAGTATATTAAATTAAATGCCATATTTCAGGGCACCCTGTTATTATCATAATGAAAAGCTCGTTATAACAACATATGTAATTTGAAAGCAAAATTAGCAGTATGAATTTGGAAAGACACGAGTTGCTTACCTAAAAGTAGCTCTAAAACTAAATAAAGAAAAATTGGAAGCAATTTGCAAGGAACTAATAATGAATATGTACAGAAAAGCTAATAAGTTGGATAATCAATTTTTTCTGATTTCATTTTGATGTACCTTATAAAGTATTGTCAAATTCATCACACATTATAAAGTATGGTCAAATTTATCCATAATAAAAAAATTTAAATATATTTATGTTTTTAATTATGTAAAATTTAAATTATTCTTTTTTCTCCTTGAATGTTAACTAGGAAACTAGTAAGAATGGAACTCTAGATGCCATGCTGTGGAACCTGCCACCCATACCACCTCTGCCTAGAACACATTCTCATTTGAATCCATAATTATTAATATTAATAAATATGTATTCATAATGTATGTTTTACACATTCTCATTTGAATCCATAATTATTAATATCAATAAATGTATTCATAATGTATGTTTTACTAATTTGATATACTCAAGTTGGATAATTATCCAAGAAACTCCCGATAAAAAAGATAAAATGAATAGTATCCTGAAAAAACTCTCCACCGATAATGTTCCAGTAACGATAATTGTCACTAAGATGATTAGCAGTGTTGTTGACTGGCTATTCATAGGACTGCCCATGTATAGCCAATGAGCCAGTGCACCACCCCCTGGGTAACCAGTTGTCAGCAGGGTTACACAGTTGTGTAACCAATGGCCAGTGTAGCCATTCAAAAGGGTGTAAAACAAAACCATAAACTTAGCATGAATAAAAGAGCATTGGCATTGGCCTTCTCCAGATAATGGACTGTGTTCTTTATGCTTGCAAACTTGCCCTCAAGTGAACAAACGAAGGCCGAACCTGGTCAACCTTGTTTTTGGTTTTGTTGCCAGGACTGCAGGATAAGATAAATGGTCTTGTGACACCATCCATAAAGTAAATAGATTAAAAAAAAAAAAATAAGGGAAATTTATAAAAATATACATAACAGTTGAACTATTTAACATTTTACTATTGCGTATTTTAACAAATTAAAAACCCACTTTGATATGCCATTTAATGGGCTATTTAAACTTTGATCAAAAGAATGATGGGAAATTTGAGATAAGATCAAGAAGCCATGTCACATATCTGGAAATAACTCTTTTTTTATTTTGGTCATCAACCAAAAGAAAACTACCAACCTTCCATGTTATGTCTATTATGCATTTTCACATTTTTTTTACATGAAAATCCTATTGTCCCATACAAATCTCTGAAGTTTATAAGCATTTACAGACAGGCCGGCTTTCTTTAAAAGCATTTCATAAAAAGGCATTATGTACATCAACCCTCTAAAAATGACACAAGTACTCATTTGTGGCACCATATGAAACTACTTCAGCATAAATATTGACCTCTCTAGGAATGTCCAATTCATTTGATTGCCAGTGTGAAACCCAACGATGCTTACATACCATACACCGCTTAGTAAATAGGCATTCTTGTCAACATCCGACCGGTGTTCCAATCAATATCCACAGAAACAGAATTTCATATAAATTCCACAGAGCCAGAAACAAACCAAAAAGAGACTTGTTAGCATACATACCAAAACAGGAAGATATGTCATAACAGGATAAGAAACTCTCAATAATCTGGGATAGACGAAAACGTATAGCCTTTGGCGCCCCTCCAGGAATAGTATGCTATCCTGGTCTCATAAAAACCTGCAACCAAATCTGGTTGGTTAGTCTTGATTTTCAAAATTAGTGTAGTGCCATCAAAGTGGAAAATACTGAATGCAAGGAAAAGTGTCATCAAAAGTGGAAAATCCGGTAGGTTAGTCTTGACTCGGAACAGTTGGTGGATGATGACCACGGAACAAATGATCAACTTTGTAAGGAAAAGTTAATTGGCTATCCCATACCTTAGTGCATATCTTCATATTTTGGGTCATTTTGGTTTGAAGTTTGTCGAGATGACAGGAAGTTCGTAAGAGATATATATTCTTAGTTGGAGTAATTCATGGGTCTCCCCACCACCAAATAGGACAAATGGTATCACAATTCATCAATTTTCATCACACATACACAAATCAGGGATTAAATAAAATAAAAACGCTAGTTGTTTGAGTTTGTTTATGGATGATAAATTTGATATCATCTAACTTATAAGACTTATGCGTTATGGCTGCCAGATATCTTCGCTCTTTATTGGAGCATATTCATGACTTTCCAACTTCTGTAATTAAGTTACATCGTAAACGACTGATATTTGAAGGTGTGATCATATGTACTTGGACTATCCAATACTGTTAATGGAAGAGCCTCACAAAAAATAAGGGGAGTTATGCACTTCTCAGATGCATGAGTGCATGGAACCCAAAGAGTCTAAACAAAGCTCAAGCAGAACGCTGATGATGAGGCAAGAGACTCCAGTAAACTGACTTCTGAGCTCATGCTACTATTTGAGTAGGAGATTATATCACTTAGGATCGCTCATGAGCATCGTAAGCCATCGGCACATTCGGTTTCTAAGGGCCAACTCAGGTTGGAATGGAACTTCACCAAAGGACGCATACAATGGGCTTGGGCTATATTTGGACCTTGAAGGTAATTCCCGTCAGGCACTAACATGTAGCCCAAAGAGAAGAAAAAGGGGAGGATCCAGCAGTTGACATGTCTTTTGATAACATAGCCATTGCTTCTTGCTTTCGAGCCAGAGAAGAAAACGGATGTGCTAACCATTGCTTCTTGGCTTTCGAGCCTAAGCTTGCTGGGCTAAGAGGATGATTGGTCACTCAAAAGAAAAGCTCCCTTGTGACACAAGACAGAACTCGGAAACATCTCCCTTTACTCTAGATTAAGCAAAAGAAAAAGCGAGCCCTCAACAGGAATCATTGCAACCTTTCTAGAAGCAGGGAGGACTAAAGAGCTAGGTTCACTTCCCAATAGGAGACTTTACCAAGACCTTAGAACAGAGTCAGAACCCAGGTTAGCATCCCAAATAAGAGATTTAACCGCCGCCCTTACTTGCCTATAAGCAAGAAAACCTTTGCTTGCTTCTTAGGGGAATTTTGCACTTCTTTAGCCATTCTTCCTCTTTTAAGTGTCCAATATTCTGTGAGGTGTTTTCGACAGTGTTGATTGGCTTTGCTTTTGATCAGAGACGGCAAAGACTTCAGTTTTCTCACCAGACACGGAGCGAAAACCTGGACCTATTCTTTAGCATGATTCGGTCTTCAGGCCACTTCAGCCAGATTCAGCCTCCTTAGCCAAAGAGGTGAGATTCAGTGGCATTGTTTGAGGGCATTTCCCATAATTTTTTCATTTCAAGGGGTAATTAAAGAGGGTCTTCAGGATATTTTAATTTGACTTGGGGCATATCTAAATTAGAAATGTACAGTAAATATTTTTAAAACAATAGCCAAATAAGTTTGAAATTTTTCAAATTTTAACCCCGTTTCAGAGAAGGGCGAATAAACACCCTCTTTTTTTGTTTTTTTCTCACAAACTAAGGTTTTCTTCAGTTTCTCCTTTTCTTCTTTCACTCCTCTCAGTTCCTGCTACCACATCTCAATGACTCAACTCAACATCTCCAGATTAAAAAACCAACACCAAGTCACCAATGTCGGAACTTGCGTCGTTTCTTCTCTTTCAAGTTTCAAATTTGTGCATCAAATTCCAATATGGCAGGGGACATCAACACCAGCGCCAATGAGTCAAAGCACCAAAGTGCTTTCCAATTATTTTAATATCAAAAAAGAAAAAGGCCTGAAGCCTTCCCCCGAATTGGCAGAACACCGAAGGGCTTCGCTTTCTCTACCAAACCCACAAAGCCTCCAAAGCAAAACCTGACAGCATTGGATTTCAATGTTTTGGCAGTATACATAATTTTGGGACATTGCATTCCCATTTTTCCTAGGAATCCATATATATGTATCTAAGGAAGGTTGAATATCCAAATCAGTCAGAATTGGGAAAAGTTTGGCTTCAATGTGCCTTGGTCCCTATGTCTTAGTGTCAAGTAATGTGAATGAATGGGACAAAGGATTCAATCTCTTGCAATCCTTTTGTTCAAGAAATTAAAGAGCCATAGCTCTTTTCTCGCTACAATAACTACTGGTTCTTCATTGTTTACTTGAACTCTCTCTAGGAGTGATTCACATCAATGGGTATCAGACCTCTCTTTCGTTTGGACAAACTGGACTATATTATACTAAAATCGTACAAGATGTCCAAGTTGCACGTGATTACAAAATTGTTAGCTTTTTCTTCTTCTATTTTTGGGGGGAGGGTGTGTGGGCGGGGGGGGGGGGGGGACGTTGTGGGGGATGATCAGGAGTGAAGGTATGAGAGAGAGAGAACGAGAACGAGAGGGTGCAGGAAAGGAAAGAAGGGGATGGGATGGAACAAAGGCCGCATAGGGAACACGGAGGGTGGTGGTCACTGTAGAACCTTGGGACACATCACCTTGTCTTGCTAACGTGTCCACCTATGAGTTAGCTAATCTCCAAGATTGCTTGAAGGTGATCTGGAATGATCTGATTATGTCCAAACACTTGTAGTTAATACCAACCTCCATGGGCACAGTGTAAGTCTTCGACGCCCATGAAAGAATATTTTCTGAGTCTCCAACTACAAGAGATTGGATCCCAAGAAGAACCAAAAAGTCACAAGCCCCCCAATAGGGCCTGTGCCTTCGCCATAAATAATTTAGCCATCATGACCGGCCCTGAAATGAAAGCAAGATGAAGCGAGAACTGTTTTGGGAAAGGACTACAGCTGGTGGCCCAGGGTTATAAAGGAAGCAACCGTCAAAGTTCATTGTAATGATCCCATCAGGAGGAGAAACCCAGCAGCTAGATCAAGTGCCAGACATGGGCCTGGAGGAGAAGATGATTTTCCAGTTTAGCAGGAATCAGCAACTGAAAAATTCCTGGACGCCGTTGTAGTTTCTAGCCCAAAATATGTTAGACAATAGGATACAATGCCCCAACTTATGAAGGGTTGTTGCTTTGCCCTTAAAAATTTGAGAGTTGGGCTCTAGCAGGTAACCCAGAGAGCAGCTAGCAGTGCGGCTTTCCAAAGAAAATGACCAATAAGAGGGTATGCTGGTGAGAAGTAGGCCACTAACAGCAAGCGGAACGACTCCAGCCAAATCTCTGTAGAGTAGCTGCCTAGAAAATTCTAGCAACTAAGAAGTTAAGAGGTGGTTGATTATCACCTCACCCTACAAACACATTACACATCTTTTGGAAAAATGAAACCATGTCTTTTGAAGCTGATCTTCAATATGAACCTACTTAGGTAGAACAAGCCAGTTGAAGGCTTTTATTCAAGGCTGGAGGGACAAAGCAAACTCTTCTTACTGTGGCTGGGGGAGAGGGTACTGAGGTTAATACCCAATTTTTTTTGGTCACAACCAAACCCAGCGATGAGGTGAGACTGGTGGTGAACATTTTTTTTTTTTTTAATACTCCGGTGGTGAACAAGTTTACAAACTCCGGTGATTCTGTGTCCAGGAGGATCCTCCTGAATAAGGGGCCATACTATCTGGCCTCAATTAATTCGAAGGATTGCGACACCAGGATGTCCTAGGAGTTGGCGACAGCATAGAGCCTGGGGAAGAGAGTCAAAGGTCTAGTCGCTCTCCCACAAGTCATTCCATAATCTTTTTTTTTTTCCGCATGTTTTTACCAAAACCATTACTGATGAAACCTCAGTATACCATAATGATCATAATGATGTGGAAAGTGCGTCAAGTACTTTTACTTCATCAAGGGCAAAAATGTCATTATAAATTTTATTTTAATTAAGACCTCTGTTTTAATAACGATTGTATGTATTATAAATACACCTTGTGGTGTATGGGAACATTTTCATCCTTTCTTTTTTAAAAATTCCTTTATACTTTTACATTGAACCAAGCTTCTCTCTCTACCCCTCACTCTCTAGCATCCACAAAGCTCTGTGCTAATCTCTGTCTCCAAGCTCCCTCTTCTCTTAACCTCTCACCTCTCTTTGAAGCAATCTTCCTCACTCAAAACCCCATCTCTTCATCTTCCCCTTATCTCTCTTCATTTGAATAATTTGTTTTCATTTACATGATGCCCTGACCAAAAAATGTATGAAAATATTTTAGGGCATTAGCTGCTCAATAGCATCAATCCACCTCCAATGCCTTCTTATGATCATGGCACCAGATAAGGGTACTTCACATCTTTAGGAAAGCTTCCAAAGCCTCTGCTTCTTGTGAAGGTAAAGCTGGTCTCTAAGAAGGCTTGGAAGGAAATTAAGGCGGTGGTGGAGGACATGATGCTGACTTAGATTCAATCATTTTTTTCTTGCTTTGAGGTTTTCAATCGTCAATTCAGAAGCAAGTAGCAGGTTAAAAGCCTCAATGAAGCAAATGGTGATCTTTTCATTTTGAAAATCAGGGAACATAGGTGGAGATTGAATTCCTTTCCTCTTGAATCAAATCTTCTCTCAATTATTTCTTTCTGGTCATCGTTTTCTTGTACTCTCCCTTCTCTCTTCAGAAACGAAGGTCTTGAAAGGTTGGGAAAGATGGGAAAATAATTATTGAATTCGGTGGAGAGAGGATAGAGAGAATAAAGGGGCAAAAAAGAAATATTAGGTAACTTAAAACCATTGACTTGGCTTCCCCATTTAATACGATTTGAGATCTTTTCCTTGTTGGAATGGACAGTCTAAAAATTACAATA